CTCGCTATGATCCAGTGGGGCCCTCGGTTGAGTCGATCCATGACGAGGGCATCACGTGATTAGGTGGAGGAGAATGTCACGGACAAAAAGTCCCACATCGGCTAGGTGTAGGGCCGAAAAGCAATATTTAAGTCCTATGCTGCCCACCTCTCTTAAGAATTTTTTGGGAGGTGACAAGTGATATCAGAGCAGCGATTGCGAATTGGCATCGCAAAAAACTTCGGATTGTGGCAAACAATGGTAAAAAATTTGTTGGCACAAAAGGAATTTTGAATACATTGCAAGCTATGAAACCTGATTGTAATATCTATAAACTGTTGGGAGCACAGTTGTAGGTGGAGTTCACTACGGATCACATGATGAAAATGCTGCAGGAAAGTTAACCAAACTAGATATTTTCAACAAGTTTTTGCGTTACATGAACTCGTTGAATGTTTGCAGTTGCTAGTTGGCATGGCTGCCCAACCCACTTTGGCGTAAGAAACTTCATGATATATTTCTCCAAAGTGGCTGGATATTCGCAAGGTGGAGATTTTTCTCCTAAGGAGATGAATATTCGCAATGTGGAGATTTTTTCTCCTAAGGTGCTGGATATTCGCAATATGGAGATTTTTCTCCTAAAGGGTTGGATATTCGCCAATGTGGAGAATTGTTAGGTATGGCTCATATACCAGGAATTTAGAGTCTCATGGATTTAAAGAGGTGTGTCTCCTGGAATGAAGAGATGTGTCTCTTGATGTGAAGAGGTGTGTCTCTTGGATTAGTGGGTTGGGGGGAGCAAGGTATGTTTGTAAATTTATCTGTGGGTTTTATCTATAAATAGATGTGTAACCCTATGGGTATGTAACTCCTCTCAAAATAGTGAATTTGCTGCCCTGCTTCCGAGAATGTAGGCATCTTTGCCGAACCTCATTAAATATTTGTGTTCTTCTTCTGGATTTTTGTTTTTCCTTCGCCCTAAATTTCACAACAATCCGCACTATCAGAGATTCTTTAAGATTGACCCTCCACAGATTGCAAGGCATTTACTTCTTAGATACCAGTAAAGGTAAATATATGGGGGAATGGAGGGCAGTCTTCACGATATTACCGTCTCTGATTATGTGGTGCCAAGCTTTTAATGAAACTAAGCTCACAGCCCTTTTCCATTCATGCAATCAAGAAATCAGACTAGCGCAATTAATTATGCATTAAATTGGTTTCATTTAACATACTCAAAAGCCAGCGCTCAACCAAGTCATCCAAAAACCCATTCAGCAAACTTAGAGCTAATCTCAGATACATAAATAGATGAAGATTATAAAACTAATTGGCAGCACGCATGAAAATGAAAACGAAATACATTCAGAAAAGTGGGATACCCTCCTTTAAGATCTGCATGCTTTTGGTCTATCTTAAGTCTCACTTCTACTGCTACAGCAGCTTCATCAAGGCCCTGAATTAAATCGGTCAAAACTTTCCTACCACTACTAGAAGCTGAAGCTCTGGCAGAAGCAAATTTGTTTAAGATTTTAACCTGCAGGGAACATCAACGCATTTCAATTGAAATTATAAGAGAAAAAAAGAAAATTGCAGAAGAATGATGACAAAGAATTAGGCTAAATTAGTACTTGGAGAATCTTTGACCGCACTTGAGAAGCAAAGTGGAGAGTATAAAAATAGGGGCATTTACATACATACCATGCAGTTAATAAATATTTACATTTCTGAAACCTAAACTTTCATATTTACATGTATAGCACCCAAATCTTTAACCTCACATCAAAATTACTACTATTACTAACTTCTAAAAAGCGAAACACACTTTTTCATGCATAGTTTTATGACACAAAAGTGTGGTAAATGTAAATATCAAACTTTAGGTGATAGAAATATAAATAAATAACACTTGTGTGCTATGCGTGTAAATTTCTCTTAAAAATATAGATTAGGTGGGGCTTGGGAAGAGAAATGTGATACTATGCTAGGCTCTTCAGATATGATAAATATATGTTAATTACAATCCATTCCAGGGTCACAGCCAGAATAAATTATTAAATATTACACCAAGTAAAAAAGTACTCGAGCTTACCATAAGATATGCTCCGTCATCAAGCCAATGATTTTCCTTTAAAGCTCCATGACCACTGGTCTCAATAGCCAAATGTGTTTCTTGACCAATCGAATTCTGTAATATTTTTCTTTAATTAAATTATTAAATAATAGGAAAGGGATCAACAACAACAAAGCCTTAATCCCACTACGTGGGGCAAGAAATTTATACTGGAGGATATTTGTAACCAGAACAATGAAAATGAGTACTAATTTATTAATACTATATAATATAGCATCATCATCATTAGGCCCAACATATTGAGTTCAATTTATGAACCTACTCCATTTATTCCAACAAATTGATGCATTCGATCTAATGTTGACAATCTTTTCAAAAAACATCTAGGTAAATTTTCATTTCAAATACATTTACAACAATCTCATCTACCAGCTTTGTGCACTAGAATTTGTCCAAACCACCAAAGTTTTTCATTAGCTCATCTTCAATAGGTGTGACTTTCATTTTCTCTTACATAGAAGCCCAACCCAATACAAGTAATATAGTTGATCAAAATGAAACTTCATTAGATTTAGCTTTCAAGTCTACATGACATTATCTGCTCATAAATGCACATTTTAACCATCAACTTCAATTTCAGATACTAAATTCTCAGAAAATTTCTATATTCCTTGAACTCAGTCATGCAATCAAAGAAGCTCAACAAAAATCACATACATTGTATTGCAATCTTAAAATGGATTCCTGGGAAATAAATGCAATGAAAGCCCATAAAACAATTGCGGACAATCTGACTCAAAAAAAAATGTCTAAGCTTATTATTTTTTCAAGCCTTGATAATATTTTAAACGCAAAACATTATTATTAAAACAATGATATGAATACATCAAGAACCATCACCATAAATAGCCAGGAGTAAAAAGAAAAGGAGTCAAAACAAGAGAAAGATAACATGATAACCTAGAATTTGAAATCCTTATGAACCTGAAAACTACACGCAAACAATAAAAATAAATAAATAAATAAAAACTCACTTTGATAGCATTTCCTGTAAGCCTGATTAAAGAGTGATTTTTCTTTTATAATGATCGTCTCACTAGTAAAAAGAATATGAAACCTCCTATCCACCAAGCAATCAACACTCAGAGTGCTCTCATCTAAATCATAAGACTAATAAGCACTCTAATCATTGTTATGCTCACAAATTGGAGGGAGGTGAGGTGTTGTAGTAATAGATGTACCAACATAAATGATGATGCATATGTATGTGTTGACTGACGAACACGGTGGACCTAAAAGGTGTAGGCACAAGAACCTTTAATTCTAAAGAAAATATAAAATTGATTACGAGTTTTGATTGCAGACCTAATTGAATAAAGAAGTTGCCTCCAAAGTGGTAGAGAGACGAATCTGAAAATTTAACTGTATCTCTTGTGCATGATAATTAGATTCCCTCATATCTGGATAAGCCTTGAAACATTCAGAGAAATTATACCCATAAATTTTGTAGGGTGAATAATAAGCAACAATTGCTTCAAATTCAACCATTTGCCCATGTGCTCGAGTTGAGGAGTAAATCCATAATTTTTTTTCTAAATGAGAAGTAAAGTCCAATTTAACCAAAACACTTGGCAAAAAAGCTTTGAAAAATGAGCAATAGCATTATTAACTTGCAATAGCTTACCAAATATAAAACCCAGAGAATAAAAGTGGATTAATTTAATTAAAAGAAAACAAAGTCAAGGGAATGCAATCCAAAGGGCATTGAGAGTGAGATCAACGGAAGAGTAAAATTGGGGCAATCATTTTGACATAATCGACCATCGAGGGAGAAATTTACTTCTGATAATAATTTAATAATAGAACATGATAAAAATTAATGAGCCCCATAAAAAGGGTCACCAATCAAATGTAAATCTGACAAATTTGTCAATAATCTTCAAGTTTGGGTGGCCCAAAGAGAATTTGCCAATGATTAAAAAATATATGACTAACAAACTTTAAGATCTCCTCTTTGCTGAAAATGTGAGCAATTTTTCAAAAATATTTGGATTAGTGCTTGAGCAAAAGTTGAAACCAAACTTAAATGAAAAAATAAAGTAAATTGTTTGTTTGAAGAGGAGAAATGAAATACTAAATCATTTTGCCTACCAAAAATAATAAAAAAGAAACGAAGAAAGTGGGCAACAAGAGCCACAGGTTTTAAAGAAGGGGAAACAAAAAGAGGAGCCTTTGTCGAGGAAGGAGCCAATGGGAGCCAAAACCATATAAGTAGCCAAATAGGAGAAAGAGGAGATTGGATCAGTTGAAAACAATGTTTTAAAAGGCATGGCGTTGGGTGGGACATTCTAGCCACGATAAGGTGGAAGCCCCAGAGCAACAGCTGTAAGCCCCACGGTATAAAAAGAATAAGGAATATAAATATTAAAAGACAAAAAAATAAACTAGTTGTGCTTAATAACAAAATTATTAAGAGAGGTTAAAAGAACTTATGCTTATTTAATTTCAAAACAAGTCTTCAAGGATTAGAATCTTCAAGATATTAATAAAAATTCACCACAAAAAGTAGAAACATATAAAAATAAGTAAATATGTTTGAGCCAAAAAATAAACTTATGCTCAGTTGGTCTCAATCTTTGAACGTTGTTCATTATTCAAATTCAACCACAAAATCTTCTTTTTCTTCACCAATAGTTGAGTCCAAATCACAACTAGGTCTTTCACATTATCTGCATTCATTGTCCGCTTCATTAAAGTCATCCTCATGCTCAATCTCAAGTGCATTCACAATTTATTTTAGATTATCATTGTTGCCTAAATTATAAAAACAAATAAAATGACATTTATCTATAAGAATGCATAATTATATAAAGGGCAATTAAATGTAAAAATGAACTTTATTTGTTCTTTCATTCAGCTTCCTTTTCTATCGGAATATGTTATAAGAATATATTTTCTTCCTTATGTGATATTTTGTGATTCTTCATTTGTATTAGTTATGGACCCATTTTTAAGTACATCAACATCAAATATTTGTTCTTCATTCAACCAAGAAGGTTCCCGTGGAAGCGCTGGATATTTTTTTTAACAATTCACTCATCATCAGAGTCTGTGGCATTTGTTAATATTAGATGGAAGTCTTATTCCTTCTTATACTTCTCTCTCTCAATCTAATATTATAACCTCTTATGCTCCAACATGTTCCTCTTCTTAGTATTAATTTAAAATAATATATTATATTCTTTCAGGACCGTTATGTTACCATTCATGAAATTCTTTTCGAGCCACTCTCTGAAGCTGAAACAGTCATTTACGGTATGTCCGACCAGTCTGTGGTATGGGCAATACTGGGGGTGAACCCTCTTATCGATCTCACCTGATTTTTTTGGCACTGGCAGTCTGAATTCGGGCTTTTTGACCAAATCCTGGAATATTTCTTCCACTGTTTCTTTCTTGAATGAATATTCTTTGTTTAGACGTTCTCTGATCGTAAGAGGCAATTTGTTGACTGCGTGCTGAGACGGCAGTTGAGTATGTTGTTGAAGACATTGATGCGCCTGTTGAGGTCGCTTCATTTGTGTCTGCAATGGCCGCTTCCCCTTATCAACCAATATTACTGCCCCAGGCTTCTCTTCAAACACTTTTACCAAATCTGGCTATTCAATTTTCATCTGAGGTAATCATAATTGTTCTTGAATCGTGGCTATAGCAATCGTCAGCTCTTCTATCTTCTTCTCCATTCGGCTGATTCGCAAATATTGTTGTTGAATGGTCATTTGTAACTCATCCACGACGTTCTCTTCGATGGGAAATAGAGCGTCGGGCGAAGATGATGGGGCCCTGGCTTCAATAACATTGAATTCCACAAACAACTCAACCAGGTAATCTCTTGAGTTGTAGTCATCATCGTTGGCATTGTTCCTTTGTTCTTCGGCCAACTTTGCGACATCGGCTTTAAATCTTTCCAGAGCGGCCTCAATCGATTTCGCTTTGGTCATTTTGAGGTCAATTGGAGTATCCTGATGTGCAACTCTTCCTAGGTTAGGCTTTGTCGTAGCTGCAGTAGCGGCTGTCGGAATGTCAGATTCAAAGTCCTTTTTTAGGAGAATGACCCACCAACTTCTCCCATTATATCGGTCCTTGATGATTGGTTGTTGGTTGTGTTGTTGCTCGCGTTGTTGGTAGTCCCACTGCGGGCGCCGGCGAATTTGTCGAGGTCTTTCAGCCTGTAATTGCAACAGTCGTTAGCCTTTGCCAACTACTACCACTATTCCAGACACTTGTGGCTTTTAAGCCACCGCACATATTGGGGGTCCAACCCAATTAGACTCATCCTGAAGGTCTGGAGATTTCAGAACATCTCTGTTTAAGGGTAACTAAACAGATAGCTCCAAAATCCACAAAGATTTGGCTATACCTGCTCAAGGAAGAAATAAGCGAGGTATGCCAACGGAAGAATAGTCTGAACCACTAGGGACATGGACACACTACCGATGTTTGAAAACAGAATCATTTGATCAAAATGGAGAGAGGAACTAATCTCCAGCAGAGTCACCATAATTTGTCGGTCGCCAAATTAGAAATTGTCGGCTGCTGGAATGGATATCCCGACGCTTGATTTTAAAAGAGGTTTAATTTAATTTATATATATATTTTGAAAAAAAATAATATTTTAATTTTTTTTTGAAATAAAAGACCAAACTGATCTCATATCTGTAATAGTTTAAATGATCGAGCACAACACCGTAAGCGATACATCTATCCAGGGGAATAGACATATTACTCACTAGCGCGGCTCGATTAAATAAACTAAAGATTTTCTGACATCCGTTTTAGTCTGTCTCCCCTATTTAATACGGAAGATTAAATAGAATTTATTTTAAGTTGGGTTCTTAAGTTCCCTATAGAGGTAAGCCTCTATAATTAATTATATCTTAAATGACTAAAATCACTTAAGAAGAATCTCGATTAAGATCAGTGGTTTTATCTTCAAGATTGTAAAGTTTAGGTTTCCAATGATAAATATGAGGAAATCAAAGGGAGAAAGGGCTCAAAATATGAACAATTATTTTTCAAGAGTCAACGGAGTAAAACATAGGGGATGTCACAAATCT